ATGGAAGATTAGAGTAAAAAATTAAATTTTTTGAAGTACAACTGAAAAAGTGAGAAAAGCAATAAATCTTCCTCAATGGAAGTGTAAAAGTGTGCCTTTTAAAGGAAGATTAGAGTAAGAAAATAGCTTAATTTTTTGAAGTACATCTGGAAACTTTAAAAAGCATACCCCACAATTGATGATTAGCGTATGAAAACAAGTTAATTCTTTGAAAAACTCCTAAAAAAGTTTTTAGCTTCCCAGGAAGCTTTTTTTATCATGAATATATTACCGTCATTCTCACATATCACTTTCCACTCTCTTTCCTTTTCTATCCTATACCATTGGTTAAATGTTATAAACATTATATATGCTTGATTTCCAGGCATATCAAGACATCATTATTTTTGTAATACTTGTCATTTTATCCTTTATAGTTCCCTTCTCATTGAAACTGTTTGGAATTCAATTCGAAAAACACTACACAGTCCTATTTAAAAAACTTTCAGTATCAAGGGTTATGAGAGGAAATTTTCTTGCCCCTAACCTCAAAGTGCCTAGATTCAAGCTTTCTCCCTCTTTTTTTGCTTTCTTTTGGCAACTATTTACTATATTATTATGTGTAACTGTTAACTTTCTAACAGATTTTATTTATATAAATTGATAGAAACAATGTTTTTGAAATTGAATTTTAAAGCTATTAGATCATAACAATGAATTCCTTTAACATTTGAAAGCAAAAACTGGAAACATTTTTTATGAATTTTAGTCTACATTTTTTCCAACAACATTCAACGGAATAGACGACATAGTCCAACTCAACAGTTCAAACTAATTTACAATTATTATATTCAATTAAAATAAATTGTATACCACAAAACCTATTCTACTAAATGATATAATATTTCATATTTAGCTCAACCGTAAACAGAGTGGACATGCATAGAAATTTTCACCACTTACATTATTGGCTAAAGCATCTCCGGATTGTTCGCTACTCGAATCTTCTTCGCTTGGCAACTGCTGCGGCGATGTTGCTGTTGTAGTCGCTGCTTCAAACAATGATGTAGGATCACCTCCAGACTCTCTAAACTTCTCCACATCGGATAATAAGCGTTCCAAGTATTCAACATAAAGAGTTTCCTGTTCTAACTCTTTTGTAAGTTCGGAAATTTTTTGTTTGTGCCTCTCAAGACTGGCACGTACATCTTGCTCCCAAGCATCCGATAAGGAGCTTTGTGGAAATCTTTGCATCCATAAACGTTGAAAATCATTAAACACACTCATTTTCTATATATTTTAATTTTTTTATATTTTTTATTTTAATTTCTATTTGTTTGCACTAAGTTAATTTTAATTCCAGTCAGATACATTGAAAATGTATTTATATATATATGTAAATATATATGATATATGTGATTTATATAATTTACTGGTACTAAAATATATTTTCAAGTCCATTTATTGTATTTCACATTTCCTTGAGTGCAACATTATGTGCTACATAAAAGGTATGTATCCATATGTAAATATGTAACGTAAAAGAGCTCTTGTTACAAGGCCACTGCTTTCCACTGATTTGCTTCTTGTTTTGTATATTATATTTGTAAATTTCACTCCCCTCCTACACAAACGCAATGATGCTACAACGGATGCTCTTTATGGGTGCAGTGTGTTGCACCCTTTTTATTACTTGTCTAGTTTACATTCAATACCCTTGCCACCTTTCATAACTATTCCCCCCCGCGATGCAAGTAAAATTGCAACCAAAACGCCACCTAGGCAAATATCGAACGAATTGATGCACTGCCCACGACCGATTTTACTTTTTTTCTTCTACTTCCTAATTCAAGCACCGCTGTAAAATTTATTCAAACTTTTTAGACCATTAGCACTTTAGCTCAGTTATAGAACATTATCACATATATAACACACACTATTATTATTTTATTTGTTGTGCTAATTAACAAATATTTTCAGTATTTATTTTAGGAACCTGCAACAAAAACACAACTTTTTTACTCAAGACAGAATCAAAAACTAATGAAGGCACATTTTAGATCAATTAATCGATAACTGGTTAAGACTTGCATTGCAAATACTTATGCAGTGTTGCATTGCTGTAGAAAATTTTGTATACGTTTTAATTTTTAATCAAGAGATGGCGCTTTCAAACATTTGAACTACAGTGAAATATTAATAATTAAAATATTAAGAATATCAAATATATTACTTTATAGTTATGAGAGGTTTACGAAACATTTATGAATAGGGTATATTGAAACCACTTAATAAGATTAAAATTGAATTTAACTAAAACACATTTAAAAAAATCAAACTAAAAGTTTTTTATAAATCAGACCATAAATTAGAAATTATTATGATGTTAGATTATTAAAATATTTCAATATTTTTAGAAATTATAAATAAAAATCAACACCATGTTTGAATAAGCGGATAAATAAAATCTGATATATATGTCTTGCGACAGTTAGACAACTATAACAATCATCGCCGTAAGTTTCTAGCCATTTAATTTTTTTTTTATATATATAAAAATTTTTAATAAAAACTTTTTAAGTCTTACTCATTATTAATAAGTTAGCCGTTCTTTATTAAAACATTCAGATAAGCATCTATTTCAACGAATCCAATAATATTAACCTTTTGTTATAATAATGTGCTCTGAGGAAGATATTCTCAGAAAAAAACATCGATAAGGCAAATTTTACATATAAAACAATTGTTTAAAATAAAAACATTAATAATGTGTTGTGTTCACATAATCTTTTTTGTTAAATATTAATAACATTAAATAAGTATTGATATATAAATGAAATAGCATTGTTATCTATTAACTACTAACTATATTTTATCTTA